ATGTGTACAGATAAGATTAATTTTTATATTTAATTTATAGATAAATTATTTACATACGTATTTATATATGTAATAACAGTAATAAATAAAAAAAAAAAACTATATTCTTCATTTTTTAACACTTACAATTTCGATAATACGAAGTTCCGCATAGCTACGCCATATTTTTCACATTAACAAATGGGAAACTATTCATTTTCTATAAATCTTATGAAATATCAAAATATATATAGAAAGTCATTATTACATCTCAATTACTAAAAATTATAGGATGTGAGAAAATCGTACCGTAAAATTACTCGCGAGTAACATTACATAAATGTCATCAACATTTCCCCATTATTAATACTTTTTATCTGATTGAAAGTGAATAGTAAAAAATATAAAAAGTTTTAAACATAGGTCCATTAACTATCCACGTATCACGGATACTAATTCGATTTCAAACGATTCCTTCTATCTACGTTTGAAGTTTTTTTTAACATTAGTCGACGATTACATAGTTTTCTAAGCGGAACGTGGTTTGAGAGGAGGACTAACTCTCAATCAAATGAGAAAGTAGCCTCGAGGTCCGGTTTTTAAACATACCTCGTTTCTTCTTTATTTCTTTACTTTTACAATCGTTGAAGAAAGAAATGCATACACACCCACATATATATATATATATATATGCATTCGTATATATCTTTCTTTGTATTCATCTATCTTTCTTTTTTCATTTCTTTCTTTCTTTCTTTCTTTCTTCAGCGTTTGCCCCGTTCGTGTTAATGCTTCTTTTATCGTCGAATCAATTGTATGAGGAAATGGCAAAAGAAGTAGTGGGAGAAGAGTCATCTAAATAATGGTCGGCTTTCTGGCTAATTGCTTGCCTTAAATCGTGAATAGGTTCGTTACGTTCGAGGTCATTACTGTAAGCCAGTTTCCGTCAAGTTTATGTGCACTACCAAGAGAAGAAAGAAAGATTGTGTGTATGTGTGTGTGTGAGTGGGTGGATCTGAGAGAGAAAGAGAGAGAGAAAATAATAAACGCGACAAAGTAGAAAGCTAGTAGTAAATATGTGCAAGTACTTACTTATCTACAAAGAATTCCAAAAGATTCGTTCGAATGTTTTATTTCATTTCCTTACTATAAAAGAAGATCAAACAGTAATAAAACTGGTTGAGTAAATTAACGAAAAAGAAGACGAAGAAGAAGAAGAAGGAAGTTATTTTGATTTGATCATTTAAAAAGATTATTATTACCGCTTTCCGCGTCGAACCATTTCTGCTCGAGTTTTCATTCAATCCATTTGACATTTTGACGCATTAAATAAATATGTCAGCGTGTACAACCGGTGGTAACACACTGCTTGAATAGAAAGTTTTTGCGCGTACTGTCAATGGATACACATGGCTCGGAACTTTTAAATATAAGTTTTTTTTTTCTGAATAGGGTTGTTAATACCAATTCAAATACATACATACATACATACATACATACATACATATTATTATAATATGTCGAAACGCGTAGAAGTATATCAATAGCTGAGAGAGAAATAATAAAACTCGAAAATGATCTTCGCTCGATTTAAACACAAACGAACATCAGCGTCTAATTTCGAAAGCATTCACGTTTGATTCAGACCACATTCACATTTATCTTTGAACGGAGATAAACGGGCGGATCCAGGAGAAGGCGTCTGCCGATTTATCGGAAGCTGCTAGTACCTTCGATGAAATAACCTTGTAGCTCATTCGTTCTCCGACGTTACCGAAGAGTAAAGGAGAACCTATGAACGAACGAACGAACGAACGAACGAACGAAGAAAATAAAAAAGAAAAATAGGATTGACTTTCAGTCGTAGATATAAAAAAGAATAATAAACTTTTGGTATACCGAGAAAGAAGAGTATGCCGGGCCCCGGGAACTATAGTTTATGAGATTCGTGGAAACCGAATGATTACTTATTTATGGCCAGAAGGGAAGACGTAACTGTATGGTACTAGTATAGCGAAGGGAAAAGAAGAAGAAGAAGAAAAAAAAACAGAATAGAAAAATACGAAAAAAGGGAGAGAAGAGAAGCTGCGCGCTCGTACGCACGTTTTGATGTTTCCACTAATCGAACGTTCGAGCTTACTACGTTCCGCAAGCTGACGGGATTCGTTTTCCACATAGAAAAGTTATTTATGGGATTCCTTATAATGCCACCGTGTAGATATCTCTCATTTTGTCTTTTCTTCAACTTCCTCGAACGACGTGGGCGTTTATGAACAAATCGCGATACACTATTACATCCTGCTCTCGAAAAGTCAACGACGTTGACAAAATGAAGAAGAAGAAGAAGTCGTTTTGTTGTTATTCAACGAATTCTAATTTTGAATTTTTGAAACGATTCCATGCGTGTAACTCGAAATTAATCGATAACATTCTAATCACTTTCAATTAACAATTTATTGTAAACACATTTTTGATTTATTTATACTATTCATTCGAGCATCGTTAATTGCTAATATAAATATTATACAATTTACGATATATCAACAAATATATACATATAATTCGTAATTTTGAAGAAACACATTTTCCCCAGGGAAATGAAAAAAAATAAAATCTATGAACGGTTATGTTGCAATTATTCAATGTTTGCACACGCAGAGATAGGATCGTTCCAACGATCGATTGGATCGAGTCGAGCGTAAAACTGGACCCATGGTGCGTGCGTTTAGCTATCGTGTCCGTTCGTTCGTTCATTCGTTCGTTCGTTCGTTAGTTCCTTCGTTCGTCCATTCGTCCGTTCGTTTATTCGACGAGAGCGACGTTATGTGTCTCCTCGTATTGCTTCACGCGACAGGTGAACACACCATTAAGGTCAACCTCGTAGCAAGTTTCCCGAACAGGGTGCAATAAACTATAGAAGAATGAGGATGAGTGAGAAAGGTGAGGAAAAAGAAAAAGATCGAATAGCTTGACTATCCGGTCTCTGAGATACTTTTACACGCTAATGTACTCCTTCTTTCCTGTAATTTTTCCTTCACCATCAACGTCTCCAACAAAAATGGAGAAAGGAAAAGTAATACAAGTATTAAACGTATGTTCGTATCTTTTTTTTCTTTTTCTCATTATTCTCATTCTTTCTTTCATAATGTTCCGTTGAATTGACAATAATCGATCGAATTGATTGAATAAAAAAAGAAGGAATATTGATTATAATTTATTCAGTATTTTCTCTCGTCCAAAATTATAATTCTTGATGATAAAGGTTCATAAGGAACTTGGACATGAAAAAAAAGTAGAACTTAATTTAACTAAGTTGGACGTTTCGTCCCTTTATTGGGACTTCTTCAGCAACTTAATCTTTAAAGTTCAGCGTCTTTTTTATATTATTTTTTTATTATTTAAATTATTATTTTTTTTTTTTTTATATATAATTATATACTTATTATTATTTTTTTTATTATATAAAAAAGACGCTGAACTTTAAAGATTAAGTTGCTGAAGAAGTCCCAATAAAGGGACGAAACGTCCAACTTAGTTAAATTAAGTTCTACTTCTTTTCATGTCCAAGTTCCCTATGAACCTTTATCATCAAGAATTGATTATAATATATTTATTTTTATTTGTTTTATATTATTCTCTCCTTCTTATTATATATCCTTTTCTTTCAGATTCAAATCATCTTGTTGAATAATTTAACAGTTTTGAAAGAAGAAAGCGTGTTATGCAATAGTTCTTATTCTGTAATACTTAACAGTTAAATTAAGGGTTAGATACTAGTTTCATTAGAATCATAAGATGTAAGGAGGGTGTAAAGGATTCTTGCGAGAAACTTGTTAAGACATGATAATTCTATCAACATGTAAATCTAATTGAGTAACGACGCGCCCTACGGTTGCGACATCAGACATCCACTTAATCGTTGTCACATTCATAGAGACTTAAAGAAACTTTCTTCCTTGGCCATTCACTTACCTCCAATTTCACTTTTCAACTTTGTTTACATCGTTATTATTATTTTTATGTGTTATTAGATTGAATTACTAGGAGTAGCAATTAATTCATGTCATTTAAACAAATTTAGTATTATATTTTTATAAAGTAATCATACATATTTTATTCTTCGAAATAATCTCCATTATTTTTTCGATAATTTTGTTCATCTTTCAGGTAAATGTTGAATTTCTTGACGAAAAAAAGGTTGGCGATTTTGACGCAATAAATTAAATGTCGAAGCACCGAATTATAATTATTACATCTAATAATAGTTGTCTCTTTTTTCCAAAAAACAACTTTCTAACTAAATGAATGTAAACGTATTTTACACTTTTGCGTTCGTTATAGTACAGTCATTTGTATTAGTGATAACGAACCATTTTCTTTTTATGGTCGCAGTGGGTAAAAGTCAAACAAAAAATGTTTTATTTATCAGTCGCAGGACAAATATTTGAACGAAGTATTTAGAAATCAGAAACAAATTCAACATTTAACTTTTTAATTAATTTCTAATGAAATGAAAAACACAAAATATGAAAATTTAAATGTTTCATTTTATTTTTAATCAATGTAAAATTTTCAGGTACTACGAGATGATAGTTAAATTTTTGCATAAGGAAATAATTATACTCATAAATGTTGTGATTCTAATGAAAATGAAATACAGTAGTAAATATATTGATATTTTTTCAATTTTGCTTTTAGTGAGAGTTGGAAATCACAATTTTTGGGAAAATGATGTTTAAAACTGTAATTAAATTTTTGTAAAATTCACGGGTTCAATATTAAACTTTCCTCACAGGTTCTCACCATCGTTATTTCACATATCGTAACTATATATTTATTATAATGAAAATGAATTAATATAAGTTTCCTTTTTTTAAGGAGGGTGGAAATTTCAACAGATAAAACAACCTAAATATTACTCTATAATTTCTGTTAATTTATAAAAAAAAAAAACTTGCAAAAAGAAATATGATAAGAAGAAAGATCTATTACATCGTATTTTTGTTCTCGTTTAATTTCAGTGCCAATTACAACGATAGAAGGTGTGTTGGGAAATAAAGCGCATCTACCGTGCGATATACATGCGCCGAACAACGACGACATAAACATGGTGCTCTGGTTCAAGGAAGATGGAAGTGAACCGATTTACAGGTAAATCACGTACATGTACGAACGACGTATCGTTCATCGCAGTGTAATAAGTAAATCATTTTATTATAACGCATCGGTTAGAAAATCTCGTCTTTTGCATTTATGCTTCAGAGAATAAAGCTAAAAATCTGATAGATGAAATTGTATTATATAGGAACTATTCGAACGATTTTCATTCGGATCACGTCGATAGTTTCTCCTTCGAGATCGCCTAACTTCATCTCTTTCTTTTCTTCCTTTTCTCTAACATTTTCTTTCATCGATTCAATGATAATGGGAAAGTTCTCTCGTTTCGACATGCACGTTCGACGTCCTAACTTTGTCCCTCGTTTTATTGAAAAAAATTCCAAGAGAAAAAAAGAGAAGAAATTCTCATCGCTTTGGGTTATCCCGTTCACGGATCTACGTCTTTCGCATCGAATTTGGAAGAGAGACAGCGAATGAGAGAGTGTAAGAGAGAGAGAGAGAGAGAGAGAGAAGGAAAGAACATAAGAATGACAAGAATGTCGATGACATCGCATGCAGTTAAATTTCTTTCTTCTTTTTATTCAAAAATAATGATCATCAGGTTTCCTTACATGTGAACTCTATAGAAAATGTATAATTCATCATAGTGACATTTATCAAATATATTCGCGATTTACGTTACTATAATATTATTTATAAATATTCTTACAATATATGAGCTTTGAAATGATCTTAGATAACGTTACGAGATATTTTATTAAATTAATTCGTATTGTAGTTAGATATACATTTTAAATAATGTACCACGATTATATCACATATTATATAAAATGACGTTTTCAAGAATGAAAAGGGTAAATTTGAAGAGATAAGAAAATAAAGAAGGGTTGCAGGGAATGAAACACATAACCAAGACTCGCATCAACTCTTGTAAAGTAAGTTTAATCTTTACTACGACAAGAAAGTTTATATTTAAAAGCGACCTCGCGTATTCGTACATTTTCTCTAGTAGATTCCAGCCCTTGTCAGAAAGCCACTCCCCTCCCCTCTCCGCTCTCCTAAGCCGTCTTCCTTCTCGTGGCGACACAGTAAAATATTTATTGTGCGACATCCTCCTATTCGCTTATCGTACGTGCCACAGACTGTTATGCGAAGATTCTTTTCGCGTTTCTCTTCTCTTTCTTCGTAGAAAACATTTTTCTTATTTTTCGTCTTTTTCTCTTTTATTCATAACTTTTTATTCCTTTCCTTTACTCATATTTATTGTTCATTCGTTCGTTCATAACGATCAGCATACGGATTTTCTAAACGTATAAAACTTTAAACGAAATTTTTAAGAATTTAAATCAAGATGTAACCTAGTTTCGCGTTTAAAAAATCAAACATAGATTTCATTGTATAAAATATTGAAAATCTTTATCATTTATATATTAGATAACAATTGCGTAACAATTGCTAATCGACACAAAAAAAAATACAGATAATAATAATTATTTATATTATTATTATCCTATCATTCCTACAACTGCACTTTAATTATTATTATTATTATTATTATTATTATTCAGATTTCTCGGCACGGAGCCGGTGATACTGAGGATCGTATGTACATACGTCAAGTACGGTCCTCTTACAGAACGTTTATAATTTTACAATCAGGTCCTTTTATTGTTATTGGCATCTACAGTGGCAAACAAGTTTCTAGGACCACTGTTTTCATATTTTGCTCGTCGCGGGGCCTTTGGTTTTACAAATCAAGTGGCTAAATATAGTTTCGATCAGCCAGCACGATGGCCTGGTGCATCTTTGACGTTTGTTGTTTCTGGTGGACGAAGTTCTGAAGCGAGTTTATTTGTTTCACGTGGATCTCAGAGATGTTGATGAGCCCTTTCCCTCTTTCGGGCCGTGATATGATCAGCTTCTTGCTGATTTTGGATGGTGGTACTTGTTTGCCATGAATTTGGTTCTTATCATTCATTGAAAATTCTCCAAGTCAGTCAAGATCCACTGTATTACATCGAATGAGTATGTCAATACTTGAATTACATAGCTACTAGTAAGATTTTCTCTCATCATTATCATCGTGTCTTAGCTTAGTTTATGTATCGTTTCATTTGGCACAAGTACCGAGTCTCGTAAACGATCGTATCAGGCACATAAGCTAAACTTATCCATTTCTGAGAGCTGATTGACTCATTAGTGCCAGAGAGCGAACTAATGAACCATTAATTTGCACGCGATAAATCAGTTGCCTGGCCGCAATGACTACTCTCCTTCTCTCTCTCTCTCTCTCTCTCTCTCTCTCTCTCTCTCTCTCTCTCTGCGTACGCAAAACATACACAGGCATAGATATATATATGTATATATATATATACAGGCATATGATCGTCTACCTAAAGTTATTCATGGAATCTCCAATGAAACGTTAATGCGAGCATGATTCGTACATACTATACAAATAAACTTTACATCTACGATCTGTGTATGTATATTCGTGAAGTATTGAAACAAACTGTGATGATTGCTTCAAACATATTTCTTCGTTTATCCGTCAGCATTTCTCCTTTTCTCTTTCTTTCTCTCTCTCTCTCTTTCATTAATTTATCTTCTTCTCTGTTTTTTCTTTTTCTTTTTTTTTTCTTCCTATCTGCACCAGGATTCACATATTAGTTTTTAATGGAACTTCGTGTAACGTCGCGTATTCGTATATCCCCCAAGGATGGTTATAGAGAGTGAAAAGAGTGAGACTAGAGAAAAATGTAGTGGGTGACATCGACGTAAATAAAAAATGCCAGGTATGTGACACTTTCATGTTTTCTACGTACAACGATAATAACGAAGGTCGTTGTTCTGAAGATAACGCAACGCGTTAGAGATGATAAATGTGGGCTAACGTGTGAAAACAAGAATAGAGACTCATAAGAGAGTTTTAATATGTTTCAAGAACAATATTATTCTTTCATATATATTTTTTTTTTGTGAATATTATTATCTATCGATATGCAATAATTTTATAGAAACTTAAATATTATGTGAAACCACTGAAATGGCCACATTGAACTATTTAAAGTACCATACTCTTCGTAAAAAGTACCCGAAACTCTCGACGATCTATATCCGATTCTATTCGAAATCCATTTGATTTTATTCGATGGACGAAAAGTTCCATGGTATTTCACTCTCTCCGATTCGCGCCTTACCCGGTGTCGTTTTCTCACTTGAAATTTAAAAGTGCTCATGTTCCGGTTGAGAGAGAAAAGGATGAGGGAGAAGGTTCTTTGAACAAAAAAAAAAAAGAAAAAAGAAAACAAAAAGAAAAAAGAGAAAGAAAGAAAAGTCGTTGTCATCAATATTCTATTTTTTACCAGTGAAAGAAAAGAAAACATAAAGAAAGAGAATAAGATAGAAGAATAAATGAGGAAAATAAAAGTACTCATTTTGGCTGCCACGTTTAGGCCAAATCCAATAGGATTATTTTAACCCTACTACTCTTCTGTGTTTATATTTATGTGTTTTTCTCTCTCTCTTTCTCTCTTTTCCTCTCTTTTTTGGGCTTGGCTAAAATATCTTGGCAATAAGGCGGTGAAAGTTCAGGACACTTGAGCGAACGTGCCAAATGTGGTGACTCGACATCGCTACGACCACAAGCCCATCGAACTTGTCGAACAGCCACGGAATAGGGCCAAGTATAATTCCACGGAAAAAGTAAAAGAACGAAGAATAAATATCCTGCCCTTATCGTTTTCTCTTAATCTCAACCCCTTACTAGGGATATTTTTCTTAAACAAAAAATTCGTCACGCTCTTGCGTGTCACGCTATGGTTTTTTGATCTAACGTTAAAGTTTCTGCAACGTAAAACATTTCGTTTTAATTATAATCGATTGTTTCAGAATAATTCGTTCGCTTAAATTCTTATTAAAAACTAGTGTCATACATTTAACGATAATAACAAAACAATATAATCGCATTTAAAAACGAATGATGTTTAATTATTATTGGATCCTTTAAGATCAGACTCGCGATATCTTGTCTAATAAGAGAGACAGAGAAAGAGAGAGAATTCGAGTTGTTATCAAAGTGTTCCTTTAATTAAATTCTCTCTAATTAATAGTATTTCTTTCTATTACACACTCTAATACAATTCTCTGATCTTTATTTTATTAGTGTTAAAAAAACGGTAGAATAAAATTAAACTATAAAAGTGCGAGCGCACGCATTGACATAACAGAATACGTGAGACACGATCGATTTAAGATTTTCTTCTCTTTAGCATATCTGCTAAATCATCGACGAATAAGTCTGATGAAGTAAAATCCTGATAAATAGTATTTCCTTTCTTTCTTACTTCTAAATGTTGACGATGACAGAATCTGAGAAACGATAGGAGAAAATCGCTTTCCAAGGTTATCGTTTGGGAGTTGAATGCCATGCTCGTTGTCGAACTATGGAACCAAGAGAAAGAGAAAGAGAAAGAGAGAAAAAGAGAATTGTTCGCGTAGAATAGTTTCACGTTTGTGAGGGGAATCTTCGCGAAGTGCGAAGTGGAAGAATTAAATCATATTTCATCGTCAATGCTGCGGAAGCGAGTGGAGTCGTGCCACCAGGATATCTTTGGGAATACTCAGTCACGAGCGGAAATCCGAACTCTCTTGCAGTCGTAGAACGCAATTTAACTTTTAGTCGGTCGCTCGTTCGTTCGTTCGTTCGTTCACTAGCTAGCGAGCTCGCGAGGAATCACCTTGCCTAGCATTCGCTTTCTCTCTTCCTCGTAATCTCCCGTTCTCTTGTTAAATCTTCTCTCTCTCTTTCTCTCTCTCTCTCTCTCTCTCTCTTTGTCTATTTGTCTCTCACTCTTTCTCTCGATCTCGCTCGCTTTCTCGGTTCCTACGGATGCTTAATATGCGATCATGCAGGGAGGATGGCTCCCAGGTGAGAAACTATGTTAGGTATACCTACTTCTCGTAGCCTTTTATCTACTTGAATTACAATTCACGTATGGTATCGTTCTTCTGCTAAAATCCCTCCTCTCTCTTTCTCTCTTTTACTCGTTTTTTATTCTTGTTCCCTTTTTACAGTTTCCATCTTAAAGCGGTATTCAAAGATTAGATGCTACCGAGTAGAAATGTTTAACCTTTTCGAAGTATGGAAAATTGATTCCATTTCTGAATACTTGTCCAATCGTTTGCGTTATTAAAAACCGGATTGCAGGCATCAAAAAGTGGTTACTCACGTATCCACGTCATGTACCAATTATGTTAGAATTACGTGACGATTCGATACGGCATAAAATGCATTAGATATCATGATTATCCGTACGTCCTTCATGCATTCTTTCGTCGGTCGAACGTCTTTTAATCGGGGGTTCAGTGAACCGTTCATGATGATCCGTAAAATCACATTCTTTAACGTCCTTTAATGTAGAGAATCGTGTAGCGGATATTCTTAGGTAATTCGTAGGTTGAAATCATAAAAGCAATAATAAAGGAGGCGTGTATCAAACCAATAAAGATAATCTTTTTTTTCGAGGATATCTCCGGTAATAGGAATAACGGTGAATATTATGATCCCTTGCAGCTTTGACATACGCGGTCGCCGACAATTCAGCAATGCCCGGCTTTGGTCGTCGCCTACAGCACTGGGACCAAGAGCTTTTTTTATCACGGCTACGACTCCGGCACATCTTAGTATCGATCGGGTCGAGATCAAGGACGAAGGAATCTATCGATGTATGGTGGATTTTAAGAATTCACCAACTCGAAATCAAAAGATGAATTTGACCGTAATTGGTAAGTACTCTTTGTCATAATGAAATCATAATTAATTAATTCTACCTAATTGATTTGCAGTTACGTGCATAAACTTGACAAATATATCGTATATATACTTTAGTACACATTTATCGTGTTAAGGTTTTATATAATAACGTGTTAGTGTAACCATCAATCATATACATCAGACGTCACTATTATTCATTTATTTTATTAGCATATAGTGATTCGCTTGAATAAAAATATCTCAATTTGTTTAAATATTGAGACTGAATATTTATATGTTTTGATCCTTATACTTTTCCTTTCACTTTATATGAGTTTAATATTCATGTTAGATAGACGTATAGAATTGCCAGTAGTCGTACAACCATTTTTTCGGTATCTTTTTACCTTCTCAATAAATCCTTCGTGCTCTCTTTTTACAATAAAAGCATTTTCTATGAATTTTAATTTTAAAGCACTTCTACCTCGACCCAACCGTTAATAAATTCTTTTGAACTTTATACGAGATAATGCGAGATCTTAAGTTTTCGTCGGCAGAAAAAGAGAGAAAAAGGGGGAGAAAGTGAGAGAGAAAAAAAACACGAGATCATAAATAATGTCGCATAGGTTAAAACTCGCATCTTTCTCGTAGACCAGAGAGAGTGTCATAAAAGAATTTTATTACGAAATTAAAGATGAAAGGGAAGAGAGGACATAAGATATAATACAATAGACTTAAAAACTACAATATATATTATATTCGTCTATTACGTTGTAAATTCGTTTAAATGAAAGTAACAATTTGTTATACAAGATTCAGAATAGTTGAACGAAATTTGCACATACCTATAAGATGTAAAAAAAGTCTTACGATTTTCTTTGAAATAAATAAAAAAATAAAATAACTGTCCTATAACAATTAATTGCGATTATTGCAAAAGGTAATAGCTTTTTTTGTCAGCATCTAATGAACGCAGCCTTTCCGACCGAGTTAGATGCCAGGTTATTATTGGGTTGGCTTCTATATCGATACTATTATAAAACAAGATATTCCTTAATCCATAGCTTTTCCAACTTATACGATTTCCATTATAGTAGAAGATAATCTGAATACTAATAGGTGGAACGAGCTTTTCGCTTGTACGTTATAGTGCCTCCTTCGAAGCCCGAGATTCTGGACAGCACGTCGAAGAATAAGTCGAGGATCAAGGAATCCTACAACGAGGATAGCGATGTGAAACTAATCTGCCAGGTTAGAGGCGGCAAGCCACCTCCAAAGCTGACGTGGTACCTCGACAACAACGTGATAGACGAGTCCTATACCTATGACCGTGAGTTTGCGCTTACGGTTAACCACTTGTCGTATCCGAGAGTCGGCCGACAACATCTCAACGCAAGGCTATCCTGTCAGGCCAGCAACACCAACAAGGTGCCTCCAGAGATCAGGGTTCTCGTTCTCGACATTAATCGTAAGTCATCATTTACTTTTTCTCTCTTTCTCTTTTTTCCTTCTTTCTTTCTTTCGTACTTTCTTTCTTTATTCCATTATTTTTTCTTCTTCTTCTTCTTCTTTCCGAGACCTTTCATAATCATTGCTTTCTCTCCATCTTGCTCATCCGTATCTAAAGTCCACGAATGCTCTCGTTTTCTAGTAGGAATTCTCTTACCGTCTTCAACCATTTCAACCCTCAGCTTTATATTCGTTGAATTTCTCTATCTCTCTTTCTCTCATTTTGAAAAGAACCACAGTTTCCTCACGTTCTCGCTCTCTTCTATCGCATTCTCAGAACTTTCGTGACCCACTTGACGTGACTGGGTGATAATTTTCTCCTTGTCACGTCGGCCCAAGAGAAGAATTCTGCGAGCTTGAACGAGCTCGTCTCTCGAACCAAGGAAAAAAAACGATAGTGGCGATCTTTAAAGAGAAAATTTTAATAAAGCCTCACGGAGACAACCTTTCGGATCTTTCTTTCCCTTCTGTTATCATACTTCTACATATACTTAAATTCTTATATTTTCTCAAACGTCATCATTAACTTTCCGAAATTGAGGAAGGAAAAGGACATACATGATCTTGGAATAGTTACATAAAAACAAAACTTCGAATTCTTCAATTATTTTCTTTTTTCGGTTTAAGTTAAGCGTGCCGCGAAAGCCTTTTCAGTTGGTTCCGTTTCAGAGAAGACACGTTCACACGGTGAACCTATTAGTCGTTCGTTTGAGATTAACCAGCGAAGATAACGGTAACGCCTCTTGTAAGACGGATCAGAGGATCGCGTGCAAGCGTGCTTCACCTTCCTTCCTTCGATTCCGTGCTCGTATACGAGCTCTTAGCGTGCGACACCACAACAGAAAGACTCAACGTTACTGACTTTCCAGAGCATTGTCGTTGTTGCGTTACCAGCTACTGAGAAAGACGATATTGTTTATGACGATGACGCCATTGGTGCTCGTCGTCTTACCGATTGCGTGTCCTTTACCCTGTGTTACTTGACTATGTTCAATCTCTGAGGACCTAGAAACGTTCTTTTTCTCGTGAGTTCTTTCTCTAAAGGTCGATTTAGAATACCTGTCCTGTCACGGAACGACGAAATGGACTTTTAAATCCATTAAGTGATGAAAGATATTAGTTAGATGACGGCTTAGAATCTTTGCAAATCATGATAATGTTTTATTATATACAAATTGCATTACAAATGAAAACCGTTAATGCTATTTGTGTACTGTATTTTTATATATGTGTATCTATATGTATGTAGGATTGAAAAACTAATAGGCATTCGTAAGAAAGTTGACCGATAGTTCACTGATTAGAGCAGTCGTCTGGAAAGAAAAAGATTCGGACTAGATTTTCGGTTCATTCTAGTTCAGTGGCTCAATTTTTTCATGAATCTTACATATATGACTTGATAAATGATTATTCGATTATTCAGTTAAGAAAATATTTAATGGTGCGCGTGTGAAGAAATATTTCTTACTCGTAGGTAACATCTTTCTTAGAGTATATCACAAAATTATCCCAAATATAGTGTCACAACGAAGGACTGAAGAGGGAAGAGAAACTTAGGGTGAATAAGAGTAGCAGCAGGAGGGGTGATGGGCTTCTTCTCTCCCCTGTTACATCCTTCTAGGGTGCCGATAACTTTAATGTAAACACGCGTACAACCATTAAGGAATAGTAGCCTAGTAGTAGTCATGGCCGATGTTAAATTCACGCTTGGTTGATCGTGATCGAACGTTAAGTACACACAGAGGAATAACTTTGCGTGTAAATTCTCAAGACGTAATATATCACTGCATTTATGCCACCCTTATTCTCTTTGTTTCTCTCTCTCTCTCTCTCTCTCTCTCTCTCTCTCTCTCTCTCTCTCTCTCTCTTCCTTTCATTTCCCGATGCAGCGAAACAGCAAGAGCCTTCTCGTTGAAAGAATCACAAGAAGGAGCACGATTACGAGTACATCCTTGGGCTAGAAAGCACAAATTAGGTCTTATCTCTTGGGTATTACTAAGATTCAAGGGTGTGAGAGGCTTACCATGTCTGAAAGTCAATTCACACTTGGCTGAAGGTAACCGAAAAGCGAGATGAAATTTCATCGGATAGAAACGAACTGGCTCGATCGTTCAACGTATTACTTGTGGATTATTCCCCGATGGTAATATCAATCTTAAATTCTTACGATTGGATAAATGTTCTTTTTACAGGGAAAACAAAAATCTCTATATATTTTTTTTTTTCTTAAATAGTTAAATATATATAATTTATTTTGAAGCGTGAAATATACCCTTAATGACACGCTTTCTCATATAATAATAAAATATTATCGCCGTGTTAAATAAATACGATAGATCAGAATAAATGTTCGAACAAATGAATTATTTTGATTGGTCAATTTAATGATAAAAAGTAAAATCAATGCGCTTTTTTGGCGAAATAAATGTCGAAAGGAAGCTTGAACGTTTACCGTAACACAGAGGGTATTATTGGGAATATCTTGAACGGAACTCGACTAATCTTCATTAGTTGGATAGAAGCCGACAGGACATTATTCATGAGCGACATTATACGGTGGCTTTCGTCGAACGGACGGTAGAATGGTTGCAATGGCGGATGAGAGAAGCAGAAGCGCGCAGCTTTTCCTCGGTTTTGCTATGAAGGAGCAAACGGTGGTTGGTTTAGCTTCAACGGCTCGTCCCTAGTGCCGTTGCTAATTCATGTTCGCTCGATCTCTCATTGTTTATATACGTGGCACGTTCACGAAACCGGGCGTACACGCTCGTGCCTTGATGTTTATTCGCGCGCGGTGATGCGCGTCGTGTCTGTTCAACGAGCGATGATTAATAACCGTGGTCGACGCGTTGACCGATCATCCGAGCATCCATTTTGGACATAGCCTGTCCTACTATTCGTCTAGTTTTGCGATCAACGCCCAAATTAAATCTCATTTTCGTTCCTACATCTTTCCTTCCTTCCATCCTTCCTTTTTTTGTTTTAACTTTTCATTTTATCTCTATCTTGTTGTTCATCGAAACAACATTATACGAAATAAAAAGTGCCTTTCAATTTTTATTAATAATTGATTCTTCTTTTCCAGCCTTTGCACACTTATTCCCCTCCTGGACAAAGCCCTTTCCTAATTTTTTTCTTCCAATTATTTTTATTCCGGACTTTTTGATGCTAGTAAATTCTAGCTGCCTGTGCTGATGTCGTCCAACTATTATAGTTGTGGTCTGCCTTTGCTTCTCTTAGTCTCCTTTCATCTTTCTTTCTTACAACATGTCCTGCCCCATTGTCATTTCAGTTACAACTATCCTTTCGACTACGTCTGTGACCGTTGTTCTTTTTAGAAAATCATTATTTTTCATTTTGTCTTTTAAGGAAAAACTCGCATTTCTTGTTCCATAGACCTCAACATGTCTCTTAATCTATTAGCATTCTTTGCTGTAGGGGCTGTTATCTCCAGCTCGTAGATGGTGACCGGTAAAATATAGGTGTCAAAGAATTCTCTTTTTAAATTTAAATTTAAATTAAAAATTTCTCCTTTTTTTTAAATTTAAAATTAAAACTACAACTTTTTTTTTAATTTAAAAAGTAATTGTATGCTAAACGGACAAAATTCTATAATAGACCTATTATATGCATATATATATATATATATATATCTTTGTTGTTCATAACTATCATTATAAGTAAAGGACGTAGATGAAATTCTACGGTACTTAGTATTAAATACACTTAATTGCATAAAAGTGAAGTATTAATACTTTTTTATCGGACGAGGGTCTTCACTAATCAAAATTGTCATAATATAAATATTTCAATGGATTTTCATGCATATACAATCATGTTACAAAACCCATCAAAAACGATCGATTTATGGATATTTTAAGGCAAAAACTATAGTACTATAATCGTACTTTAGCATGTTGTAGAGAAAACTAATTTCAATTAATATATTCTACGACCTGTATAGTTGACCGTTATCGCGAAAGCCAATATTAGCCGTTATTATAGTTAACGTCGATCCGTGATACATGAAACTTGATTAAGAGCCCGGATTCGTGGAGCCAGTAAATCTTCCCTTTTTTTTTCTTTTTCTTTTTTTTTTTTTGTCTAGATACAAAAATCGGTGGCTACGCCCTGTGCTCGTATTTCATAATGTTTTAATTTTCTTCGCGTAATAAATGTATCCGAGATACTTAAGGTGGTTTTATAACGAGACATGTGGAATTTAATATACCGATTTAACTATATATATATACATACATACATATATATTATACTATCGATCCACGCACGCAAGGATCGCGTGTAGTTTGATCGTTTAAACCGTTGCAGTTTATATGTAAGTTACTGTAGAAAAATTGGATTTTGGATGCATGTTATTTTCAAGGTTCGAAAAATCTATCGAAATCAACGGTGATATCGAGCGAGCAGTCGAATCGTGATTCAACGAGACGTCCGACAAATCCAAGAGTCACAAGTCGGTTCGACTTCCATCGCAAGCTCGTAACTCAATGCGAATCGATAACCATGACAGATCGTTTCATTCCAGCTGTTTCTCTCTCTCTCTCTCTCTCTTTCTCTTTCCCTACCCCTTTCTCTCTACCTATCCATCTATCTCTTTTTTTCTATTGTTGTTTCGTTCTCACGTAGGTACACTCGATCGATCCAGAATAGTCCCGAACAAAGTAAGGATAAGTCTCGAACAGTTTAGTACCTACAAGTGCTTCCAGTTCATCCTCGATAATTCGTACAAACTCTTTGTTTGATCCAAGAGTATCGTTCACTCTCTAACTTTAAGGTAACTCGCTTAACAAACTACTCTAAGCTCTCGTAACATCTGAATCGTGTTTTCATCAAAAGTAGCTGAAAGATACGAACCATGATTGTTTATAATCCTATACCCATACAATTTTAAAATTGAGTATCCATAAAAACTGGAAGTAGTCAAGCAGTATGGACACCCCGTTAGATATATGAAAGAATACACGCTAAGGTAAACTTCGTGCGAGCGTATACGTTTACTACGCTTTTATTTATACCATGTTTTTATATTATAAGAGCTTATATCGACAAACAAAAGTTCACAAAATATACTGTTTTTGATTTTTTAACAGAGTTTTCTGCATGAATGCATCCCTTCTCTCCCCTTCCGCATGAAATTAAAAAGAATGTTATTCATTAATTATATTCACGAGTATACAGGTATTGCATTGTTATTTTTTAGTAATCAATTTAATATTTTCGGATATACAATGAACGCAAGATATTTTCGATCGATTTACGAACAAAAATAGAAATTTTATTATTAAAAATGATTTCAAAAAACAATATTTCTATGGAATAACTTGATTATCAGAACAATTAATTTACATAATAGAAATAAAAATACGAAAATATACGTATTTTTGTAAGATTCTTTTTGTGTATTCAAATTCTGCCCATAAGAATGATCATATTATTTAAATCGTATATATATACTACTATGAAACAAATTTATTCTGATATTTTACATATATTAATTTTCGAGCATGTCCTTCAAGTTTCAAATCTACACTTCACACAATCAACCTTAACGAATAGTTCGATAACAAAACGTCTACATTACGAAGCATTTTATCGTAGCACGAAGTCGCGAAACGCGTTGGTAAGTATTAGCGTGACGCACGATATTCGCATTTTATTTTTCTTTTTTTTTGTCGAACTCTAGCACACGTATACGGAATATAATTCTTCAAACAAAAAAAAAGAGGAAAAGAAAGCGAGAGAGAGATAGAGAGAGAGAATGGAGATTTAAATGAAGGGTTTCGCGTGTAATTTGAAAAGAAAATGAAGAGTCGAATTTGAAAGCACGTACAATTTTGAAAAGAAACGTCGACTTTCAAATAGAAATGCCTCGCGATTTTAGTCGGGTGGTATACGCTGACTCGTCGGCTAATAAATTTTCACAGGCGAATAAATTACGCGATGGTAGAGAAAGAAAAGGACGGTTTGGCTTAGGTTGGATTGAACAAGGATGGAAAATGAGAAAGAGCGACGTCAGCGTCGCAAATCGCCATAGCAGATGGACGTAACTACCCTCTCGACATCGTCCTCGCGTAAAACGCGTCCTCTCGAGATAGGAGGAGAAGAAATTTTCTTGCATATACCTATTAAATACGTCATTTTCGCTAAGACCATCTAATCTATTTAATACTTATATCCTTGTTCATTTATTTATTTCTCGAAGAAAGTAACGATTTAAATATCATATTAGGTTGGAAATGTAGATGAAAAAGATAATAATTCATGTAATTATTATAATAATAAAACATTGAAAAGTTATGGAGTTTATATAAAGGAGGTTAATACGTTTAAATGTTACCAGTGAATTATGAAACAAAAAAAAAACAAAAAGAAAGATTCATATTGCATTATTCATAATAATAATTTGTATCAATACACTTCTCTGATTTATGTAATTAAATATATACGATTTGTAAATGAACCACAAAAGAGAGAAAGATATGGTAGAAGAAAGTAATAGGTGGACAATGCATGGAGTGAAACCACGAGGTGAGATAAGGTGAACTAATTTTAGAGAAGTGGCTACTGGCTAATGGCAATTAGGGTCGTACGAGTGGCTGTTTGTGGCAGCGCATAAGCATAGTTTGGAATTTAGGAGGCCCATAGCTCGACAGCCAGTGTGGTATTACGAATGATCGGCATTCACTGCCTCGTCTATTCTCGTTAGATCGATACGAGTATGACTGAATTCCTTTCAAGTTCCTACAGGTACAATATTCTTCCCATAAAGTCAAACTGTTGAGGTTTATGATGTATACGATACTGGTACCGCTATATGATAAATCAAATCTATATAGAAAACGTGTGCGTTAAATAAACGAATTAATAATAAAATAAGTGTTAGATGAAGCATATGAAGGTGGTACGGAAGAACTGAAGATTAAGGTAAAGATTCTTAATGAGATAAAGAATAAATGTGAGGAATAAAGATAGATGAATTAAGTGTGAACTCTTTTATGTGATGGATCAGAAATGAAATAATTAAGATTTATCGTCGTAACACGCACAGCATAGAATTTAAGAGGCTTGTTCATGTGACGTAAGTACTTAGTTACGCTAACATGGCTCGCTTTCTCCCACTTCACCCCTTTTTTTTGCTCTTTTTACCCTTTTTCATTCTCTGTTACTTTCGCTCGAGAATACGGTAATAGTTCATTTGCTAGCCCGTAATCGTCTCTACGTAGCATTCTTAACGCTTAAAGCAGCAAGATAATCTTTCGTAGATTGGTTCTGTGATGATTTCTCATAAGAGTCACAAACTTTGACGATAATTATATGATATTAAAGTAGAACAATTTATATCCATAGTTAACAAGAGATATTATTTATAATAAATAGTTAAACAATTATTATACTAATTATGAATTGCAATATTTTGAAAGACGGTACCTTCGGAACGGAAAATTGTAGAGATTCGAAACAATTACTATTTTATGAAGGAAAATATTGTCTTTTTATCCGTCTATATAATAAAACGCTATCAGTATGATAAAATCGATTTCGGCAATCGCGCATAAAAATGTGATTTGTAAGAATATGTATATGGGTGCATGTTCAACAAATGTTGAAAACTTATTTCCTTGAATTATTATAGTCCTACCATACTGTTATATAGCTTTTCTAAATAACAATATGACAATAAAAACAAAGATATTTTTTTTCGAATATAGTAATCGGATTTAGTAGTAATGAAAGGTATAAAATACACCCTTATGTCGTCTACAATAAGAGGAAAAAGCAATTTGACGTTTTGTCCAAATAACTCGCAATTTCCACGGATAAGCGTTTCGTATTACGAGGAAGAGAGAAAAAGAGAAAAAGGGAGAGAAAAAGAGAGAGAGAGAGAGAGAGAGAGAGAGAGAGGATTGAACGGGATTAGTTCGAAAGCGAGGCGATTCATCTAACTTTGTTAAAGTTGTACCGTTCGCTCTTCGCAAAATTTCCCGTTTACAAGGAACCCCGAAAGTAGTTAACTGAGAACAATATATATTTCGCGGCGTTGCGTCCCGCGATAATGCCCGTTTATTAAGAACTTTTGCGATAACTCCTTTTTCACGTTTGTTTACCTTCGAGCTGTTTCTCCCTCGTTAGAAGATAAGGTAGTAAAGATAGAAAAAACTAAGACCTAAATCCTTGTTTATATCTATATAATGTTACGATTAATTAATTGTAATTAGTATTTTACCTGTTAACAAAATGCAATTACAAATTGTAATCTAATGTAAAACGAATGAAAACGTGTAAATAATCATCGTTGTGTTTGAAAATGTTTGGACAATTACTGTTGTACATCGTCGAGTAGTAATGTTACCACTATGTGTTATCATTTCTTCTATGCTACGTCTCTCCTGTTTTGTTTAACTCGACTGTCGTGTTAAGGTTGTAGGAGCGTCAACGTCGTTCGGTAACAAATTATAATGGTAAAATTCTCTTGCATTATTCTTTATTTTGATTTCTTTTTAACTTTCTACAAGGATAGGAAACATGATTTAGAATCTACATTGTAAATTATAATCACTATTTTATTTGAATTAAAATAATATGTTAATATAATTGAATAAAAATTTGATAAAACTTCTAATCCTTGATTAGATTTGAAAAATCAATTGATCGTAAAATGATTAACAAATTCGATCGTAAAAAAAAAAGAAATATGATCTTTCATTTGCAGTGAAGCCGATATTTGTTCAGATCATAACGAAAGAGGTACGAGTTTCGGCGGAGAAGATGTACAAAGTGGAATGTACAACGGCCGGATCGAGACCCACAGTAGTGATAACATGGTGGAAAGCGAGCAGACCGATTAAGAAGATGGCGCAGAGTGTAAGTCCTTTCTTTTTATTTTATTTTTTTTTTTTTTTCTATCTACCTCCGTAGTTTTATAAAAGTTTGGTGAAATCGGAGCGGTGGATCATCGCTTCGTAATAATCAGCGTTGCTTGATTTCGTTGAAAACAGTGCTTTAGAGCTCCATAAACGCGACTCATCTTCTTTCTCTTTTCTCTCGGCAAAAGTTTGAAAGTTCATCCACATCTTCTTCCATCTTTTCCTTCCTAGTTTTCAAGATGATCTTCTTCTTCTTCTTCTTCTTCTTCTCCTCTTTTTTTTTTTTTCTCCCCTCATTTTTCCTCAGCGTGTTGATCTCCCGAGTGCAAGACTCGCGAGAAAGTTGTTTTTCGTTTTTATTAAGGTGTCCCGCCAACCCGATATAGTCGTTTCAGGCGTTGGATCGTGAAAACGGTTAAAGGAATGGAGGTAACAGAGGGCAAAGGAAATTCTTGAAACCACCGGCGTCCTTTAAAATTCTTTATACTTTTCACGGATTCCAACCAAACTTCGAACGACTGCGGTTATTTCGTTTTTCTCTCTCAACAACCTTCTTTTCCTTCTTCGTCTTTTACCTATCTAAAGTTCTTATTTTCTACTCTTGTTCTTCCTCTCTTTCTCACCCACACTTTCTCTCTCTCTCTTTCTTTTTATTTCTACTTCGTTTTCTGACCTTTGAAGTTAGACTCGAACTCACCTCTTCTCGCGTAAGGTGACAGAGAAAAACGTCAAAGTTCGCGAGTTATTCTGTAGATTTTTTTTCTTTTTCCAAGACGAACTTTCTTATTTCGTTTATTTTTTTCTCCTTCTATTTTTATTTTCTCTTTCCCTCCCCCCCTCTCTCTCTTTCTTCATTTTTCATTTCAAATTCGTCAATGTATTATCACGTTTATTTCGTAATCAACTTCGACGCATAGGAGAATCTATTATTTTTCACCTGTCATTATGCTCGATTATTATCCCGAATGCACGAATGTTATTCAAAATTTTTATCGATATCGTTCTTAGCGACTATCTTGCAAGAAATTATAGCGTATTACGTATCCGCTCTGTTATTACGAAATCTTAACTCGCATAATGAGGTGTAAAATTGCATCACGCGAGACTCTCGTCGATTTTCCAAGAGAAGCGAGCAGTGGCAACGTGCAAAGTGTAGTCGCAATCTAATACGTTGTTAGTCGTTTTACTCTTCCATCGAATATTATTTCTACGTAAAAATTTATATAAAACGTCATTCGTTTAATATTTTTCTAAGAAATTCATTGATTTAAGAAAATATCGCATTACAACTTTGCGAAATAAATCAAGATATTATTTTATATCTTGGTTGCATTGTATGTTATATAATATATATTACAGTGAAAGACTGAAATTGGATAATATCAAAAGATTCATAAGGTGAAATGTCAACATATACCGAATACGTCTGGTAAAGACCGAATATTTAGGTATATTCTTATACATTAATATTTCGGACATATACCCATACGAATCTTGACATTATTCATTTTCGATCTTTCACGGTAGCACATATATATATGATTTGAAAAGAGAAAAAATGGAAGAGAGAGAGAAAGGAGAGAATTAAACGGTGACATTCTGAAATGGATTCTATCGGAAAATATCTATCGAATTGCTTTGAGACAAATCGAAAGTTCAGCACAGTACTAGTTTACAAAAGGAAGAGAAAGAAAAAAAGAGAAACAAGACTAACCTAAAAAGAGGTAGGTGAGGGAAGGTAAAATACAGGAACAGAGAAAGAGTAAGAGAAAAAGAGAGAATGGTACGCGACATTCATCCTGACGAACCATTACTTCCATTCATCGCGTCCTCTATGTATGCAGATACGTAGCCTCTCTTCGATATTCATGCCCGTCGGCGCTATCATTAAAATGACATCGTGAAAAACGAAGGAGAGAAAAAGAGCGGAAGCAAGAAAGAAAGAGATGGATAGATAGGTAGATAGATAAAAAGGGAGATAGGAAGGGAGTAGTAAAGTCAGCGACCTGTCCCTACTGTATTTTCCTTTTACGTATTGTATTCATTTTTTCAGTTTCTCTTCATCGTAAATATCGAGAAAAAATTCTCCTCAGTGCATTTGCGAGTAGGTACGTGTTCTGCGATCCCTAAGTCGACTTTTTTTTTCTCTTTATGTTTTATCTTATATTAATTTTTTCTTTTTATTCGATCAATCGGAATGAACTTTGAAATTTGCCAATATGAGTAATACGGGTCTTTCATGGGAAAAAATCATTCGTCGTTTTAATGGTAAGATTTTGCGAAATGTCCGAAATTTTTATTTATCCAATTAAATCGCAGTATCCTCTGGACAACAATCGTACCATGAGCGTCCTGAGTTTTGTACCGAGTATCGACGACGACGGGAAGTATCTAACTTGCCGTGCTGAGAACCCCCTGATTCCCGACAGTGCAATGGAGGACAAGTGGCGATTAGAAGTACACTATCAACCGGTGGTGACTCTGAAGATGGGAGAGACACTTAATCCAGATGACATCAAAGAGGGTGACGACGTGTACTTTGAGTGCATAGTAAAAGCAAATCCTAAAGTGTATAAACTCGCCTGGTTCAAAGACGTAAGTACTAATTGAAACCATCGGGAGTATTGTCGTTTAAAGTTTCGGATGGTAACGATCGAAATTCCAAAAATTGGTCAATTAAAATAATTCTATTTTTTGTTCATGTTGTTGAGTTTAGCACGGCATTTTTCGGATTGCGAAAAAGTAAGCATTGCGTAGATCTGTGCTCTTTTCTGTTCCACGCACATAAATGACAAATTGTTTTAATATCATTTTTTTTTTTATTTTTATTTGTCAAGAAAAAAAGAGAACACTTTTGAAATTGCCATTTTGTTATACAATGAAACAGGAATTAGATGAAATAATAACAGATTACTCGATACATTTGTAAAATCTCAAATTTGTGATATTAACTTCATGAACATTTTGGGTTACATTAATTTCTTTTGGCATTTTTGTTTTTTTTTTTTAATTTTCTTTTGCCTTTGCCAAACGAATTCTATGTTTTATTACTTAACGAATTGAATTTCTTAAAAATCAAAGGGGAATCTCGTTTGCAGCGATTAGTTTCTAACCCCCTTTTTTTTACCTTTCCACGAAAGAACTAAGCTTTTGTAGTTGTGAAATTGATTAATATTCCCCTACCATTGGCAACGATTAACTCAAAGAGCATACTAACTCTTCCTACTTTTGTATTTCAGAGTAAAGAGTTAAAGAACAATGCAACAGCCGGCGTGATTCTCAGCGATTATTCGTTGGTGCTTCAAGGCTTAACTCGACATTCCGCCGGCGACTACACCTGTCTAGCAGTAAACAGCGAGGGCAAGACCGCTAGTAATCCCGTGACCCTTCAAATAATGTGTGAGTCGATTGAACTTTTATTATTTTACGTATCAATAAGATTATACTTACGTTAAATTTCATTAATTTTAATTATCCTCATTTCTATGCATGAAAATTTCAAAAATTTGTTTTCCAAAAAGCATGATACAAAATATACGCGTTTTTTTACGAACTATCCCCATAATTCGAAATTCTTATTTCTTCGTAAAAAAACTCATCGATCTTAATTTATTCAAATAATACGATGAATTTCGTTTAAGTTAAAAAATGTTCATAGTTAACGATTAAACAAATTACCGATAAAAAGTAAACTACAATCATAATACAATTATTTTTACGTAATATGCAAAATAATATAATCCAAAGACCGAACAACTAAAATTTTATCCGATATAACAAATTTACAAACGATCAAGTTTTACAGGTTTAAACGTAAATATTTTGACTTACAATTAGATAAGATCAGAGTTATTCATTTTATTTCGTTCGTGTAACGTTCTCGAACCATTACGGTTTAGCTATCCACCGTCGTTGGGAAAGCATTTCTCTAATTTGGCCATTCTCACCGAACGCCTCGACTCCTCGTTAATTACTTAATCGATGGCAAGCAACTCTAGGAGAGTGTGCGTCGAGGAAAAGAGAAGAGAGACTCAATGTTGGCATGTGTATGTAAAAGAGAGAGAGTGAGAGAGAGAGAGAGGGAGAGTTAGAGTATAGTCGAGGGAATAGGAAGGCCAAAGGGTCACCGGAGAATGGGAGAAAGACGGTTAGGAGGATGGGTACGAAGATAGGGTGGATAGTTTTCTCTGAAACACAGAGCGGGTTATTCTATTAGAATGGTAGGTGGCCCCGGTGGTAGCTCGGCGTATCTGCATCTTGTAAATGACCTAAGAGGGAAGGAAGGACTGCGATGCATATTCAATGTATGGAAAGCGTAGCTGAATATTCATGTGTGGGTGAAGGTAGTCTGGCAATGTGCTAAGCTAGGACAGTCTCTTCGGTGTGTGACGTGAGAGAAGAGAATCAGAGTTAGTTAGAGAGAGGAAGAGAAAGAGAGAGAAAGACAGACGGACATAGATAGTCCACTACCTATATCGTTACTTTTCAACCCCTTCAATGCTGATATTAATCTCGATAGCCCTTCGATCATTATCTGTGCGTGTTTACGTCCTAGGTCGACCTTGTCTGTAACATTAATCTTATCGTATAACATCATCGTGGATATAATAATGGGAAATAATACTAGATCAATGTGCGTCTAATCTTAAATGTCTAGGTATTAAAGAAATATTTATTATACATTCTTTTTTTTATTAAATACACTTTTTAACAGTAGATACTTTTCCAATGCAATTTTTATATAACTTTATATAATGGAAATATGTTGATATCACTTAAAGTATAAAATATGACACTCTGAAATAACTCTTTTATATCCTACGAGGGATATAAAAAAAAAGAAATCGAAGTGACTGAAGATGACCAAAATTTAATTCATTGATTAGTTTATTAAGAATATTTATTGATTGATAACTCAAATTTGGAAATTCTGAATACTCTAGATGGATATAATATATAACATCGCATTTCTATGGTTTGAAGAGAGTCTATATTTGATTAGATTGATATTAAAGTTGCTTCTCCTTCATCAGCAAGAGAAGATGGAAACGTGAACAGTCTCATGACATGCTTGATCTTCTACCGGTTCCGTCAATTTCTCTTATTAGCAATTAATATCACTAGAAAGATCAAATGCCACCTTACCATTGCCCATATATTCTATATATACATATTCGCAGAGAAGTCTAGCTCTGGCAGTGTAAATCATGTTCCTTGCCATTTGGGACTTCCGTATGCCGTGGCCTATCTCAAATAGCAATGTCAAGGGAATTTCCTATTAAACGATCGATAGAACAAGCCCGCCAGCTTCAACGCTACTTCTTCCGTTTGATAACATCCGATCTTATTCGAAACTCAAATACGAATTATGTTTACCAAGTTCGACGTTTCTACAGTTAAAACAACACATCTTTTTCAAAGTATTAATCTTATCGATTTTACTTGGCAGAATATTGTTTATAAGAGGATTTATACAAATCATAATTGGTATACCGCGTGTACATAGATAAATATATTTCTTATATTTCTTCAAATGATGACGAGTGTATTAAAAAATTTAGCCAAAAGTATCGTCAAGCACTCTCAAAAAAAAAAAACCTTTAGTCCCAATTAAATGGAGCCACGAGTTTCACGTTTGGAATCTAAGTCAGTACAAAGTAATTTGCGCTTACATGAGAAACGTGCTCGAGTGATAGATGATTACCTCAGTAAGTGTCAAGCAGCGCAATTGACTAACGTGCAGTCGTGCCATATCTGTGACACATTGAACGGGTTACCGCTGCAATAGCTTAACTCTACTAGGTGAATACAGCAGCACGTCCGAACCGAGTGATTTACCCGTCGCACACCGTGCGATCCTATTTAAATTTCAATAATCGTGGACAATGGATTTCCATAATCGTCCATATTCCTTCGGGGTCTCGGAGTTTTAGACTTTTGTGAGAATATGGCTTCTATCGTTCAGCGAGAGAATTTAATGACTTTATAGAAAATCAATATAGGTATTAATAGATAGAGTAGTGGTCCCTTGATATTTTGCACACAGTAGCATAATTTCAGATATAAAAAATATATATAAGTAATAATATTCTACATTAAATAAAATAAAATCTTAATTGATGTTTACTTTTTACCGTTTTTTTTTTTATTCCAAAACAAATGAATTACAAATGCAATCGCTATGTTTGTTAACAAATCGTGTTAGATAGTATACATTGGACTCATATATACATATTATTTGAATTTTCATCTTGATTTAATAAAAGCAAATATTTTATTAACGGTTTATATCTCCAAATAAATACCATGAATACTATATGTAAATTCGAGTAAAGGCTTATATTTATTTTTACGTACACAAAAAAAATACAGGATATTAATAAAAGATTTTATAATTAATTTGAAGTTATTTTGTTATATATTTGGAATACTAAAATTGAAGTATCATTAAAAAAATTTGTCGAGATTACCTATACCTTTATAAAATAATAATTGAATAATTAACACAAAAATTTCATGCGTAGATGATATATGATAATAAGAATAAAAAAATAAAAGGAAAGAAAGAAAAAATTGATAATTCATTTGAATAAAAAAAGAATATAATGATAGAAGGTTATAATTAGAAAATAAGTAATGATTTGTTTTTTTCTTAAGTTAACGAAAGAAAACTACGACACGTTACAGATACGCCAGTTTGCAAAGAGGGTAAAAGCGAGGTTGTGGTTGGTGCTCTCAAACAGGAAACGGTTTCTTTGGTCTGTGCGGTGGAGAGTCATCCACCACCGTTGACCTTTTACTGGACCTTCAATAATTCTGGAGAGTTGATGGAGATGCCGCACTCGCGGTATTCTCACGCATCAGTAGCCGGAACTCCCTCAGTCGTAGAAAGTCTGAAAGAGTATCAACAATTCCACGGTTCGAGACTGAACTATACACCGACAACGGAAATGGATTACGGTACAGTCGCATGTGGGGCCACTAACCAGGTCGGCAAGCAAAGAGCGGCGTGCCTCTTTCAGGTAAGCTTCGTTTTTCCATTGACTCCATTTACTTAGTTGAATGCGATTTGATTTCTTTTTCTTTTTCCTTTTTCCTTTTTATTCTCATTCCGCGTTTGTGTAACTATAAACATTCATCGTCAAAGTACACTTTTTCATTTCCTCCCATTCGAATTTTATCGCTCGAAATGTTAAAAAGAAAAGAGAAAGATTTCAATTGAATTATTGTATATTTTTACTTTTGTTAGATACTATTTTAATATTTCAACACACTCTTATTGTATATGAAACTAAATGAATATTAATATTCGATAAAAATTTATCGTAATTTAAATTAATTATTTCTTCAATGAAACGCAGAGCAATATACATTATATATATTATAATAATTTTTAATAAAATAATAATAACAATGATATTTTTTCAAAATACTAAAAATACATTTATGTACATTTTTCTGCATCGAATAATAGGTGTTCGTTATTTTTTTTCTTTTCTGTAATGCAATATATTTCATTGTGAGATCCATTTTTCATTGTCAGGGTCAGGTTCATGATATCGAAGGGTATAGCTTTAACTACGTTAGAACTTTGAAAAGGTGCTCTTAGATCGAGGTGAATCGATCTGACCTATGGACAATTGTCTTCAGGTGATAGCGGCTGGTCGTCCCTATTCTCTACACAACTGCACTGCTACGGAAATGTCAGCACCCTTAGATGTGGAGGAGCTTGGCACGAAATCAGGAACTGGTTTGATCGTACGTTGTTTAGACGGTTACGATGGAGGCCTACCTATCCATAGCTATCAATTGGAGGTCGTATCTGAAGAGGACGGATCGATTCTATGGAACAAAACACTACCGACCAATCCAAATGGACCAACCTTTGAGGTCACAGGCCTTACAACCGGCAAGAGTTATCGTCTCTATCTCTTCGCTATTAACGCCAAGGGTAGAAGTGATCCCGCCATTTTGGAACCTGTCACGCTTAAAGGTGTCGCCATGTATACGACCGGTAAATATTTTCTAATTTTATTTTCATCCTAACTCAAACACGTTGACACTCTATTAAATCTATCAACAATTTATGTTTATCTATTATAGAACGTAATCGAGTCGATAGCCACTTTTTTAACAAAAGTTATATTTTTTTTCAATTCGGTATTGGTTTAATTAATAAATAAAACAATTTTTTACATAATATTATATACTGATATTTTAATATATATATATAAATTATAAAATTAAATTAAAGAATGGTCATAAGCATTATACGCAGAATTTTAATTCAAGATTAAAAACTGATCATGGCAGGTTTCGCCGTTGATGCATAAATAATTCGTTTATACGATAATAATTAATTTATTCGAAACAAAACGAAAAACAATAATAATTTTTCCTCTATTCGATTGAAAATTGTATTTATGAAATAATTTATGAATAATTCGCGTTTGGGTTATCAAAGTTTTCAACATGATATTTTTTTTTTCGTAAATGTATTTTCTATGCGTATGTTTATAAATTGTTGAATGTAAAGATTCACCTTAATTAGAATTTCTTCATATTACATATATCAAGTACACATATACGTATTGCGTGGTGATATTGTAATAAAGTTTGATAAATGAATTCAAAAGATATATATACCTACTATTCGATATTAAGCTATTGACTAAATGATATAAACGAATCCATTAGCGTTAACTTTCGATCCTAGGTTGGAGACAATCGTGACACGATGATGTTTCAAGTTTAATAACTTTTCGAGAAACAATCTCGTTTCATAATCGCGCATTATTTCGAAAGGAAGGCGAGAACTTTTCTCGTTACACTACGTGATTATTTTCGTATTACTCTCCGACTAGCATAGCGAGCGAATGCACGAGAGAAAGGAGAAACTGAGTCTTCTTTGGAACAAAGGAAGCTTCCGAAAATTCTTAAACAAAGTGTTTGCACGTGTATACGTTGTAACAGTATAGTGTGAACCATTTGAATAGTACCGCTGTGGATGTCACATCATTTTCTAATTTTACCGAATAGATGCTACTACCATCGAAGCAGAATCGACAGAAAGGGTTTTAAGGGTATGGATACCAAGCTTACGATACCTTGAAATTTAAAAAAGGATGTTACAAAACAAAAATTAAAACGAGAATAAGAAAAAGTTTCCAAGCGGAATTGGATAACAATTAGACATTGATTTAAATAAACGAAAAAAAAAAGAAAAAGGATCTTTCCTTTAAATTTACAACATTTAACTATTAATGAGACTGTGTAGAACAAAGTTAGTCTTAATGCGTTAAAAAAAAAGAACATAGTTTGTCTGAATAGTTTGAAAGCAAAATTGTTTAACGCGAAATAGTTATAATTCGGTAAATATGTTAAGTTTCTATTTTATGAGGAGCAAAAGCATGCAGTCATTTTTCTTTCTTCCTTTCTTTTTCTCTCTCTCTTACCCTCATTTCTTTTTTTTTGATTCTTCGTGTGAACTGTTTGGAAAATGTGAAAATTCGACGTTGAAAAGACTTGAACATACATTGAAAAAAAAAAGAAACATAAACGAGGAACATTAGTCAAGTTGGTAATCTTTTTAATCGTCTTCCTTTCTAAGAGTATTCGAAAAAAAAAATGATGGAAAAAAATCAACGAAGAGTTGAAAAAATATCTCGCTCATATATATCCTAAAGAAGAAAGGCGAAAAGAAAAAGAAACTATGAGGAAATAAGAAGAGGAAGAAATAGCTTTTATGCAATTCGCAAGCTCACGGAACACATCGTAAGCTCTCGTGAGTGACGTTGTTACTGGGGCGCGATTCTTACAAGGGTAATAAAACGTAAAAGCGTAGAAAGAAGAAATATTTCAGTTAGATATAATCACCGACATGTAACATTGTATCTATACACATTACTAACGACATCAAAGCATGCACTAATTTCGTCAAATTTATATCGGATCAAATTCATTTCGTTTCCTATGAATTTTATTACATTTCTCCTTTATTAATTAAAATTTCTCTATATATAATAGTGTACACCGCAAAATTAAATTAAATTAAATTTTAATGATAAAGTTATTTTTACATTTGATATATTAATGCACAAATCATTCACTCTTTTCTGCTCTGTATTGATCTAACACTTTTAAAAGTAAGCTTATATTACAAATGTATTATAAACAAATAACGTCTGTTTAACAATCCTGACAAATAATCCAACTCACAATCGATTATCTCGATTACTTTTTGAAAAGCTTTCAAAGATATGCATTAAATAACACGTTTTGTTTCCCAACGAGCAGCACACGATGTTATTGGAAATTGGTGGAAACATAGCTTGATGGGTGAGACACAAGGACGACGCGTATAATCGCGATTGCACAAATAGTCCAGAGTAGACGCGTCGGTATTGCAATTAGTCGGTTAACCATCCCCTCATGAGAGGTTCGCACCGTGGTCGCTGATGTTTCGAGGCGGATCGCGGAGTCGGAGAGTTAGAGAAAGAGAGAGAGAGTTAGAGAGAGAGAGAGAGAGAGATAGAGAAAGGGGAATCGTCAGTTTCCAGCCTGGGAGAGGACTGGCTTGTAATGCTGAACACAGCGCAATGCGACCACAGGTATCGGACTCTGCGGACCTTGCAATTAACAAAACAGATTACTCTCAATCAACGAACATCGTCCCTCTCACTCTTACTCCTTCTCCCTTCTACTGGTTGTGTAACGCGTGCGTCGACCATTCTGATGCTAGCTTTCGATGCATCATCCATCCCTAATGCTCCCTCTCTCTCTCTCGTTCCATTTACCTATGTCCATCTCATTTGAACTTTCTATCGTATCAGAGATATAATCAAGAGAAAATACTTATAGAATTATTAGTAATATGATATCTTAGTTTTTGTAACGAAGTAAATCGACAAATGTTATACGTTGCCAAATAATAAATCATTTCGATAGATAGTTTTTATTAAAGAAAAAAATAAGAAAAGTTATATAGATAAATGTGTGTTTTCACATTGGTGATATTTGAAAAAGTCTAGACAATTAATGGCGCCTTATACAGAGCACGCTTTTAACTGTATTTATATCTAAAAGAAAAACTCGCGTGTATATAATAAATATACTGTGTAGACAAGCGTGAAAGCCTAGACCGCAGGATACGCTATTCGAAAAGGACGATTTTCCGGGTCCATGCTTCTCGGCTAGCGACGCTAGCAGAAACCATCTTTTATTCTTTCCTTCCTTTATACCTTCTTTTCTCTTCTCTTATCTTATACCGCAAAAGAGATTACGGAGAGTGAGCTAAACGTGGCGTGTTCCTTCTTTTAGCTCACTTATGTTAGACCTGAATATTTTACGTATTTGTAAGAACAGATCATACGCAAGTATAGTTCTTTTTCACTTTTGTGGTTCAAATTTAGACCATATCGAACTTTGTTATCTTCAATGTTAATTCTAATTCAAATAGAATTAATCGATAATGTGTAATTAAAGATAAATACTGAGTTAAATTTTAATGGGATGAATGATCTACTCTATGTAGTTATAATATATCCTAGTTAGAATATAAGAATCAAATTAATTCATATTTCAATAAATTACTTTGAGTAAATCATTGAAATAAATTAATTATTATTATTATTTGTTTTTTTATTTATTTAAATTGTGGAAAAAAAAGTAATAATTTTAGAGGACAAAATGTTCGAGAGTTTGTAAGAAAAATTATTAATTTTTTTTTTTAAATGATTGTTAGTTGGTATTATTTTCTTTTCTTTCCTTTTTTTTACTTTAATACAATATATTTTATATTATCTTACGTGGCATTTCTTCTTTTACTTTTGTTCTTTCCCACTAACCACTTTCTATTATTTCTCTCTCTGTCTCTCTCTCTCTCTCTCTCCCTTTTTGTATGCGCGAGTCCCCGCCGAGGTGCAAATATTGATTTGACGAGCGTAAGCCTGCGGCGCTGATTTGCTCGAATGCCAAGCTACCTACGCCTGGGTAGAGCCTATTTGCGGTCTCTTTGGAACATTTTCGCTTGATAGCAACAGGAGGTGGTCAGTTATAACCAACAAATTGGATGAAACCTTACATTATGTAATATCACTTTTATAGTTTTATTTAAAAATCAAATTATATTAATAATATATATATTATATATATAATAGCATCTAACGAGCGCATCGATGAATCTATACAAAAAATAAGGTAATAAGAAGTTAGAACGTATTATGTAATATGATATTTATACATATATCATTTTTTGTGTGTGACAATGCCGAGGTATTACTAGCATTACCGGATTTCCGATTATGCCGGTAACGTATAAATTATAATGAAAATAATGTCATTTAAAATGTAATAATAAAAAAAATCGTTAATATAGATAAGAAAAAAAAAGAAAAAAAAAGTAAAATGTAAATATTCATTCGTTGCGATGTTTTTCGATCGAAAATATGGACATCGAGGAGTTTGGTCTCTCGACGATTTTGGCTATTCTTCTCGTTGCCGATACGTTCTCTTGAAAAGTGAACGAACACTGTGTGGCCGGTTGTTTAGCCCGGAGCTATTACTACGCGGATGGTTTTAGAATGCAATTCTTTCGAAATTGGTTTCGAGTTTCCGCGGGATTGCTTCGATTTAGGACGAATTGCTCTTGTGCCTTAAAACTGGCTGGTTCTCGCGGTACACCACGCCATTTTCCCACCTTCAAAACGCAAAAGAGTACTCGCGTAGTACTCACGAAAACTCTTCTATTTTGTTCACTCACACATACATACACACATAGACGCACGCGCGCGTTTATTCACACACCGATTCCATTCTCGACTTTTTCCTTTTACTCATCTCCTCTATCTTCTATTCCTCTCGATATCGAAACTACTCAAACGAATGACAGCCGTATCTCTTACCGTATTGACTCAAACTCCAGTCCTTTATCCTCTTCAGTGAGCTTTGCTTTGCTCGAGAAATGGCAACGCCTTCGATAAAGAAACGAAGCAAAATCATACTTCAATTCGAAAAATATTCGATGTTCCTTCTGATAACTTTCTTGAAAAATTGGTAAAACGAATTATCGAAATTCTCGAATACGTTTCTTAAAAAACGAAAACAAGTCTATACATTTTTACGGCATATTAAATTATTTAAATATCATTGTTTAAATTTAACGAAATGAAATATTGGATGGTATCACTTTGACGATTAATATTAAATTTGTTTTTTAACAGAATATCAAATAATATTCCTTAATCTTTTTTTTGAGGGGACATTTTACGAGTCAATTAATATTATTGTTCGTTTATGTGAATCCCTCTTTATTAAATTGATAGAAAAATGAATTGGAAGGATCTCTGTGTGTTACTATGTGTATCATTCCTCAGCTACGATTGACTGTACATTTACGAAACCATTGATTACGTATGAATGTATATACGTATGTATGTGTGGACAACATCGTGCTCTTTCATAAAACACCTTTGATTGATTATCTTTGTTCACCGGAACAGGGAAGTATTATCCGATCGACGCCCATTGTGTATCTCAAGTGTACTCGCAAAAGAGAAGCGTCGAATAACAATGCCTGCAAAGGAAACAGCAACGGAATGTTTTCTGATTGCTGTCGAGACAAATCCGCGTTGCAGTGTGGCTCGTCGGATAATCGCAGTTTCATTAATCAGCTTTTGTGAAATCTCGTATTGTGGCTGTTTGCTCTCTCTCTCTCTCTCTCTCTCTCTCTCTCTTTCTCTCTTTTTCTGTCTCTCTCGTTGTCTTTCGTTGTCTTGCTTATTTTACTATCGCCAAGCGTTGTGCCAACGGCAAAGTCAATATTTGGCAAATAGTCGAGACAGTACACGTGCCCGTTTGCGTTGTTGCTACATCATTACTTCCTTCAGTTTCAATTCCAATTGCAATAATATAAAAGCATAACCAAAGTTTTAATATAAAGTAGACGAAACTAATATATCTACGAGATATTATGTCTGACCGAATTCAAGAGAGAAAAAGAAAAAAGAAAAATAAAGATCGCTTGCTTAACCGTCAGTCTCATAATTCTAATTAAAGATCGAACTTCAACTCCTGCGCATTGGCTCGTTTCCGTAAGTTTTGCCAATGGTAGATAACAACGATGTGGCGGATTGTCGTATACATACATGTGTACGTGTATGTAGGTATATGTATATAAAGTACGATCGCTGAGTCACCGAGTAAATACCTTTAATGCAAATTCACGAGTTTGGATTCTTGCCCGTCGTTAACTTCGAATATATCCAAGCATCGTCGCTGGTTGTAAATTGTACCAATAATTATGAATTACCGAGTTGAATGTGCTGTTGTAAATTTCGTTGAAACATTTATAGCCTTTTTTCCTTTTTACTAAGAAGATATATTAACGATCGGGTTAATGGTCGTAACGTGAGATTAGATAACTAGTATACACATATATATTTTTCTCACAATCGTGAATTGTAATTATTAGCATTAAGCTTGTATAAATGCGTTATAGCAACTTCGTGGCGCTTGTTTTCTATGTAACTATTAATAATACGCATTGTATGCGATAGATTTTAATTGTGGCTCGCTTAAAGTGGTGAACCCGTAAACTGATTGAGATAAAATTAATTAGGAAATACACACGAAATAATCCATAGACAAATTATGTGTTTCTGTTTTCATGCATTGTTATTCGTTTCATTTCATGAAGTAATCCTCTTACTCTCTCTTTCTCTCTCTCTCTCTTTTGTGATTCAAAGGCAGAGCGCGAAGATAGAAAATTAGTAACATTTTTCTATACAAAAAATGTAGCGTTGATATTTTATTGCAACCGAGTACTTCCTCATATTTCATTGTTATAAACACGTTATATGTATCTATCATTTTTTTTTTTTTTTTTCCCCCAACAATATTGTTGTGTTCGCGTTTTTATTTATCGGTATTACGAGAGAATGAAAAGTTACTATGCAACGTAAATATTTGTGGTAGACATTTTTTTTTTTTCGTACTGTTGGATGGTATTTTTCCTTTTCTTTTTTATTTTTTATTCATTCCTTTTTTTTTTTTTTTCTTCTTTTTCTCTGTTCCGAGAACAATTTTACGGAGATCATTATGTAACGTTAAGTCGTGTAAATTGTTCTACATGTATAATGGAGCTCGTAGAAATACGTAGAATATGGTAGTACGTAGACACACATTGTAATAGGATCGCGCATCTCTATTTATACACGCAAACCAGGTGAACGGTAATAGCACCATTATAGACATACCTTCGTTAATTATGGTCCTGCTTATTAAGCTGACCTCGGTGATATTGATGGGCGAGTTTGTCGCATGCTTCAGTGAGACGACGAGTGTAACATCAGAGTAGGGGTGAGAGAGAGAGAGAGAGAGAGAGAGATGTAACTTCCATATCTCTGCGTTATCTCGATGCGAAAGGCACGTACGTACATAGATATATATGTTCATACTACTGTAATGAAAACGCATTTACGTCTTGATGATAAATAGAGAATGGGGGAAATAAAAAATAAAAGAGCAAAAGAGTTAACATATTACAAAAAAAAAAACAAAAAAATGTTAACCCGGATTAAAAAATAACCTTTTGTTGGTTTCAACTAGCAATTGGTAGGATTAACGATAATATTATCTTTCAAATTGTTAATGAACAATTTTTAAATGAGGTTAATGCCGATTTTGAAAGAGAATAAAAATAGGACAAAAAGAAAAGATCTTGTCTCTCTTTCTCTCTTTCTCTCATAAATGACAAGAGAACACACAAAAAAGTATAATTCTTTTAAAATCTTAAGGACCTATGGTTCCGTTGAACCGTAAATTACGAGAGCATATCAAAGAAATTGGAAATACGATTTAATAATTATATCCTTTTGAAATATCTATTTGTCCAAATCGTTTGGGCATTATTATTGAAAAGAGAGAATTTCGTTTTTCAAATCGAACTCAAAAGTTTTCAAAGTACCATTCAAAAGAAAAACGAGGAAGATAGATAGATAGATAGAAATGAAAAGAGAGAGAGAGAGAGAGAGAGAGAGAAAGAGAAATAGAGGAATTGAAGGAAGGTAAAGAAAGAGTCAGCTTATACACATGATTCAGCATGTGTTCAGTGCAATGATCGCTTTTAGATCTATCATTCAACGGCAGACTCTCTCTTTGTATTACACATCGTCGCATGTCAATAATAGGAAAGTTGTAGGGTATCTTTCATCCGTGTGCTTTCGTTTCCGCGAACAAAGGGAGATCGAACGTTAAAGCATTGGAACCGAAAGCGCGAAGCTCTGAGAAGCTCGACGTGAGAGATAGAACGAGGAAAAAAAAATGAAAAAAAAAAGAAAAAAATAGAGAGAAGATATTATCAAGCAACATACGCCAATTTCTCGATTGACTAATGGTCGATCGTTATCACTTACAAATTATAAAATATATCTGACCGATAAGAATGTCGATTACGAAAAGCAATACAATATAATTTTCTTTCTAAATTAACGTAATATCAAAGTTATTATATTATACAATTTGATGAAATTATTTTTGTCAAGATGCTATTAAAAAATAATCATTAAACAGATATATTAAATTGTTTAAAATAATAATCTGTATTACGCGATGATTATTTTGAAAATACTTGTTTATATAATATCATTTAGCAAATATATTTTATACGAGTAATGTAAATAGGATTGACTGTAAAAAAAACAGTGAGAAGAAGAGAGTGGAAGAAGGAAATGAATGGAAAGGGATAGTTTATAGAGATAAAAGTGGAAGAAGGGTAGTGAGAAGATCGATACAAGTTCCGGTTGATCGAGTATTTTACGTTGCTGTTACGACAGGCAACACGGATGCATCGATGCTGAGTCCATTGCTACTGGGTCTGATAGCTACGGCGGCCCTTTTGGTCATGGCTGTAGTTGGTATCGTGGCAGCACTCTACCGGAAGCATTCGAACGACCGTGCCGGAAGTCCAAAGCACGCTCCGATCGTGTGCGAGCCACCTAATGCAGGTGCAACCACCCCAGTGCACCCTCAGACCAAGCAGGCGGTCGATGACATCGATCCGGACATCATACCTAACGAATATGGTAAAAGAACGACCTAACTTTTCTTCACTTTTGCCTCACTTTTGCTTTCCATATTTATTTATTACACACAAGCTAAAAAAAAAAAACAGGATAGAAAAACTTGGAAGCATTATATAGAGAGTTGAATTATAAATAAATGTAACTTTAAAAGATAATACAAATTAATCAATGATTGACTTATAAACTAAATCTATTTAACCGGTGATCACTATTTCCTGCCTGTTTTTTTATTAATGATTTTACGTAATAGTTAAATTTATAAAAGGTGTATCAAAGTTTTCGCATGGAAACAATTAAATATATTGTTAACATTTCACACAACTTAGAACTTTAAATAGAAATGAACATTTTTTTATTTTCTTGTTCGAGGTTATAACAATCGAATGATTTTCAGCTAACTAATCTAGTGACTGATTAGTTACAATAAATATATTTTTAAAATACTATTAGGAAAAAGAATTATATTTTTTTCAATTAGTGTCTTATCAATGGGATTCAATGCCACTTGAAATCGAATAACAAGACATTTGAATACTTCTGTTAGAATATAAACGGGTTTTTTTAAAAGAGTTTCAAGAGTCTCTCTTGAACAGTAGAAAAAATACATGATTCACAGAAGTGGCTGATAGTACACGCGTTAAATATTAAATTGACTTTAAGTACAGCGCTGTTCGGCTTAGAGTTGAAAAGCTTTACCTAGGAATACCGTTACTTTATCAGCGAGTAAGACCTTTCGACTTTTCCAGAGAACTGAGTAGACATTTTTTTAAATCTTTTATCGTAGCACTCCTAATTCCTGAACACTCTCGCATATTAAAACAGTCAAAAGAACACGAAAGAAGGGAGATAACTCTTAAGTAAAGCGAAGAATCTTCAATTTAACCTTCTCACTAAAGACAATGATTCATAGCTTGTTAAAACAAGCGTGTTCATTAATCTACCTCTTTCTTATATAAAATTCAGAATTAAAATATAAATTGATTATTTTCTATCTTATCTAAAAAGAAAAAAAAAGTCCATCCAATTTCCCATGGTTTCTTTTATTTCTCATTCTTTAACTTTCTTTCTTTCTTATTTTCATAATTAGCTTACTCTTGTATCGGATAAAATCTGTAATAAAGAAAACGATAGAAAGAAATTAAAGGTAAAAAAAAAAAAAAAAGAAAGAAAGATAAAGAAACAGAAGCTTAATTCACCACCCATCTTGATTTAAACGATCTAATTGACTTACCGTAGGCTCAACATGGCTTCCTAAAATCTGTTCGTAGAAAGAAGACCCTTAACATATACGCCCGTCTACAAGACACCACCTCAACGAAGAAAAAAGGATCGGGTCACGGACGAAGCTACATCACCTGAGAAAAGACCGATCGTTCAGCACGGTTTAGATCTACCATCGGATCCTGTACTAGCCGATTGTCTTTCAACATCCGCCATAAATTATTCGCATAATCATGTCCCACATCAGACAATTTTTAGCCATCAGCCAACCATGGCGGATTTTAAACAAATGGCTATGGAAGCCTACAACCAACGTAATAACCAAAATGTGAGTGATCAGTCTATTTCTTAAGCTTTCTATATTTTTATCTTTTTAACTTTTTTCTATTGCTTTTTTATATTTCGCATTGACCAATAATATTCGATATATATGATTATTTATGGCTGACACTAACACGATAATCACGTAGTCTATGGATTATATAAGCGGTTTTTTTTTCGTAAATTATTGCCTACAATTAATTTTTTTTAGATACTTAAACATTAATATAGAAATATGTGTATTAATTATATATATATATATTTAGTCATATGATATACACGTGCGATTATAGTAAGATTATATAATTTTCAAAATAAACGAACAAATAAATAAATTATTAGGAAATATAATAATTAGATGTTAAAAGATTCGAATTTAGGATTGAAAGTGTGACTTTCAATCTATTTTCTTCGTACTTTTAAGTGCTCGAGTAGCGTAGGACGGTACTTTAAGTGTCCTTGACTAAACGAATGAGCTTCTTTTAAAGATTTGGAGTTTCGGTAGAAGACGATGAAGGTAAAACGGGAAGGAAGGAACAGGGGTAAAAGTCTGGGAATAAGAGAGAAAAAGAAAGAATGACTGGGGTGGGGGAGGGTCACAGGAGGGTAAGTTCACTCGCTTTAATATGCGGCAGTCTTCCACTTTAACTTTTCCGGTTTAGCGGAGTCTTGGGTTATCTGTGCCTTCGTAAGTTTAATTGCCTTGAAGTTTTCTCGATAATTCGAGGAGGAGGCCAGTCCCGATGCGCGTAACTCCTCTTAAGGCCGACTTTTGTATCTGCCCCAAAGGTGATTGCCTTAGGTGATTTCGAATAATTTTAATATCAAAATTGTATTTTCGATCGATTGATATCATTTCGAATGATAGATATCTCACTTTAATCGTACGTATTATAGTTATGACATGCGATCATCTCTAATATGTAATCATCATTTAATTCAACATCAATTACTATTTCGTTCTCGCTTAATTAAACTATCTTTCAAATCTTTCGCTTTATACTATTATACTTTTTTTATTTTTCATTTTAATTTCATTATTTTAACTCGTTCGCTTTCACTTTTGTTTTAATATATATTTCATGTTTTTTATATCTTATATAATATTCGGTATATGGTTATGCATGGCTGGTACTAACACAATAATGCTGACACGATTAACTACGAAGATATCGGGCATAACATTTGCACATCGATTATAAGTTACCTTTATAATTAAATCCTTTAGGTAATTGGTAATTTCGACTAATTGATTCATTCGATTTCTGCATAGCTTTTGCTTCATTATACATATAATAATATATTACTAATATACTATATAATATTATAATAAATTATGTAATATATTAAAAAATTATATATATATCGATTTTAAGAAGATTCATTGAAGATTTTCATAGCAAAAAAAAAAAGAAAGATTGTAGATCGATGCATGTAACGTGTGTTTCTTCTTAGCTCGCAAGCACGGCACGGTAAAAAGGCGAATCGTTGATTATGAAAGCTCATTTCTTTCTTATTCCGCGTCATTTCACGACGACAAGCCTTTGTCAAGACGAGATAAGAAAGACGACGACAACTACAACGACAACGACAACGACAACTACAACGACAACTACAACGACAACGACAACGACAACGACAACGACAACGACGACGACGGTGAAAACGAAAATGACAATGACAACGCTGGAAAAATATCATTCGCGTTGCTTTCAGGTGTATTACAGCCTTCAAAGGACGAGCAAATGTTTATCGTCGATGCCGCAGAGGCCGGTCTCTTCGTCAATTTCTGCTCAGGGGAAATTTCATCAGCCAGAAGTGGTGACGCGCTCGAATCGAATACAAGAGAGCTGTATATAATAAGAGAGTGCCCGTCTATCTTACTTTCTCATTAATTTTTTCATTTTTTCTTTCTTCATTCTTCATTCTTTTTTTTTTTTTCTTTATTCTTCTTACGACTTTTTCTCTTCTCATAATAATAATAGGACGTGTACGGGTGGGGAGGAGTGTATCATAGAAATGATTGGACAATTTTTCTAATTGATCGACGCTACCTAAATCGAACGAATAAATTCCGAATTTGTAATAATTATTCAGTTAAGATTCTACTAACAATCATTTAACATTCTGTAATCTTTCTAATTGTTAAATAATTTAATTGAATATATCTATTAGTTCTTTACAATTTGGAATTCAATTTTTTCGATTTAGTACACAAGTGTTTCAATTTCAAAAAGTGCCAAATATTTTTACGATCCACCGTATAGAGTTTATACGTGTAAGTTATATAAAAAAAAAGGGAAGAGAAAAAGATATTGACAAATAAACATTTAATGATATAGAAAGAAGAGGAATATATATAAGAAAGAGAGAGAGAGAGAGAAGAAGAAGAAGAAAAAGCGGAAGAAAAAAAGCAATGGTCAAAGAATCCTCTTTTGATATATCATTGTTTGTGTTGATCATTTCTAACGACTTCATTGGATTTTCTTTAAATGTTGATTGTACAAAACTTCGTTCTGATGAATATAAGAAGATCAAATTCGTAATCGTAATGGCGGGAACGTTGACTTGGTCGTTGAGATTTGAATATACCAGTGAAATTTTTGGTCGATTCACTTTCTCTGTGTTCTCGATAATATTCGTTAAATCATTTTTTTTCAGCTAAAACATATTCATTGTTTCTTGTTACATCGGAAACATAATTTTAGATTAAGAAAGAAAAGAGAGAAAAATGTAGTTTCACTCGAGGAAAGAAGCATGTATATATGTGTACACATACACACACACACACACACACACACACAACAGGCATACAACGTACATATATATAAGTATATTATACATATAAGTATATTATATATACATAAATATATTTTGAGGATATTTCTTACAATAACATGAATTAACATTTACTGCGAAAGACTGTTAACGCGATACAAAAAAATAAGAAAAGAAGAATAAACAAATATAAATAATCGTTATTACAATAAAAAAATACATTCATCCCATTTATTAATCGTTCTAATCAAGCAAGAGACACACATCCCCACACACACACACACACACACACACACACACACAGGCATACACATAACATTATCTTAAAACGTTGATGAATATAAGGGACGAAAAAGGGAGAGAAAAAAATAAAAGATTAATATGGTAATCGTTAATAATGAGATAAATGTTTTCGTTCCCGCTCATCGATGCTGCCACGTGCGCGTTTCGTCGTAAATACGCGCACATTTTACTGTTTATATGAGATTAGTTTTTGTACAAAGGAATCTATTGTAAATAGGCATCGATGCCTGAGACACATGTAGAAAGTAGTCGAAATAATGTCCGAATTTTATTCGATAAACGTTCAATGAGAGACAAGAAAATAAAAAAAAGAAAAGCAACAAATAATAAAATAACAAAACGAATATTATATTAAACGAGCCGTGGGATGAATGTCCGATCGCATAAGATTAACGACTAATACATTCTCAACAATGGCATATGAATAAAAAGAAATACGTTTCATCTGTTTTTCAAAAAAGAAGTAAAAAGAAAAAAAAAACATTAACAAACAAAAACATAAATGATCTTGTTGTAGTAGTAGTATATCCTAAAATTGTTTGATTCCTTTCCTTGGTCCGCTCTTTCCCCACTCCCCTCTCTTTCACTGTCTTTCTCTTTCTCTCTCTCTCTCTCTTTATTAAGGTATAGAGGAACTCAACGAAACGAGTCGGTGAAATTTCTCGTGTGCGTGACTCGAATTTCCTCTTATTGTTAGAACGTGCACTTCCACCATCCATTTACCTCTTCTTCCAGTAGAGGATCTCTCACATCCACCCTCTGTACCGTACCCAAAAGAGGGATTTCATTGTTCCTTGTTTGTATTATATCGCCATCCGTCCTCCTATAGATATTAATAGTTTAGATATTTCTGTGAACGAAACGGAACACTAACTTTGGTCTTTTTTCTTATTTTCTATTTTGCCTTTCTTTTCTTTTCTTCTTTTTTTTTCTTTTTATTAAGATAAATAACAACGAATATATAAATATATTTAACATCAATGTTAAAACGCATTTTCTTTTCAGTTATGAAATAAGAATAATCACATTGGATTTCTTTAAAAAAGGATGTCGAAGAAGGTAAGTGAACATTATACTGGAATATATAAATATTTATATTTCTTATTTTAATATATTATAATAATAATAATTGTATATATATTAATGTGATTTAGGATGTGATTAAGATTGATTTCTATTTAATAATGCGATTCATTATTATTATTGTTGTTGTTGTTGTTTAAAATTGTGTTATCAAACTTCCCTATGACAAAGACATTTGGGGTTCTGAGAACTGGAAACAGATCATTGCATGCATATTAGTATCTTACATAATTATAGAATGTGCTAGCAGGAGAATGAGACAGACAGAGAATCCTGTTGGATGAAATGCAGTAATTCGAGCATTTGCTGTAGATCCCTAGACGTTACAGCATTTTGCATATATGTAGAGAGATCCTGGTCTCTGGGTAATTGGATAACACAGGGCAGGACAGATCGGCTCAAGCTATTATTCTAAGCACTATTCGTGCCTCTAAAGCTGTTAAGGCGACCTACTCTTCTCTTCCTCCTCCTCCTCCTCCTCCTCCTAGACCCTTCCCCTCCTCTCCTCCTCCTGTCCTGTCCTGGTCCTCCCTTCTTCCTCTTCTAATTTCGCCAAAGCAATGTATCATTTTGAACTACAAATAAGCTATGTACTTAAAATCCATACAAACATAATCCTAGAAATCTAGTCCTTGTACCAACTGCGATCCACTAATGTATCATGCACTATTGTTTCATTGTCTATGCGAAAATTACAATTCCTGTTTTCCCTTGTGTGACGTTTATCCTTTGAATGTCTCTTGACTGAAGTTTAATCTAACTTCTAACGAAATTCTTGCAATGGAAGATTGTTTAAAATTACTAGTTGTATAATTAAAGTTTGTAATGTGTAAATTAATGTTTAACGATCCAATGGGTAGTACGATCTATGGTAGGTATACAAAATAATCGATAAAAACAAAATTAAATGATGTTTTACGTCGAAGAGACTTTTTTTAGGTTTTTACAAATTTCAGCATCAAATGAACAATTAAATATAATAGCGTTAATTTATTTTTGTTTTTTTTTCCCGCATCTTTTTTATGAATATTATTATTTTTATATTATTGTTTATTAAAAAAAAAAAGTATCATTTAAATGGAAATGAAGTCTTTTCGATATGAAAGCCGTTATAATCATGATATTTTATCATGAGTTCATAATTATTGAGTTTGTAATTAATATTTATAACGAATTTTTGCGAAAAGAATTTTATTTTCAGCAAAAAAAATATTGGATCACAGAGAATTTTTATCCCACAAAGTGTATATATTATATATATATATGCATGTTACCTTGATTATGAAAGTTTATAAACCATTGAAGATGTTCAAAGTAAATTATTAGAATAACCGCGTTACCTTTCCCTCTTCTAAAAAAAAAGTATTAGATTTTTCTTTGGTAAAAAAAAAAGAAAAAAAAAAGGAAAAGAAGATAGCGCGCATTGGGACGCATAATTTTTCCGAATTTCAATTAGCCTCGTACGCTTTGTTCGAAAATTTCTAATTGAAGGGATTAATAATTTGAACGAGTCGTCCCGTTCAACAGCACCGATTGTTCATCGCGAAAGATTATTCCCCATGAATGAACGCACGAGTAAGACGCATAGCTCTTCCAATAACGACCACTTTAATTCCGACTATAACCATTATTCCCTTTGTAACCGCAAGAACCGATCGGTCCACGTTCCCCCGATCCAAGGCCTTCGTGAAAAATCATTTCCCACTGGTGAATTTMCCCCCCCCCCCACCCCGCAAAATGTAATTTCGCGAAACGATTCGACGAGTCATGTTGTAAGCTACTTGATCTCATTTCTTCTTTTCCAAAAGTCCATCCATGCTATGGTAGAATCAACAGCCAAAATCGGTTAACCCCCCCCCGCCAGACAATGTGAACATACCACTCGCAGAAAAACTAAATTGACTTGATAAGAAAAACCGTCTAGTGGAAATTCGAGACGACCCTAGTTAAAAGTCTTCCAGACGATTTTCTTAAGTATTTTTTGGTAACTAAGCTCGGTCGTGACTCTTTAAGAACGTGAGATTACGATTGGTTTTATTTTCTATCCAATCTGGTAGATTATACCATGACTATCTTTATTCTGCTGAGAAACCACTATCAACCGCGATTTTCTTTGAGTGGAAAAAGAAAATGTTCAGGTAATATATGTATTAGTTTTTTTTACATTTTCTTAATTGTCTTTTTAACACCTCATTACCGAACCTAAAGAAACTATATTTTTTACGAAATTATAAATGTAAAGAAAACTTGTACTTATTGTCCTACGCGTCCGTAGACGCCTTAGCTTTGTGTATAATTGTTTCCAATATATCAAATACGTGACGATTTTATATATTTTTAAATAAATTCATTAATTATATACATATAAAAAACTTATTTCTTTTTATTAAATATTTTATGTATCTTTTCTCTCTCTTTTATTGTAATATCTCGAATTTTCCTTATTTATCTCTTTTAAATTTCATGTGAAAGATATTATAAGATTATAAAAATTCTTCTCCGATCCTATCGAATGGCGCCAAGATCTACGAACTATGTGCGTCGACAGAAATTGCGTAAAAAGAGTTTCATGACATATGTCGATAGGTGTAGGTCGTTCTAATAATTGACGAGTTCATACTAGAGACTCAGGAACACGGAGTAAAAACTGTTCTTACCTCCTGAACTACTCATTACATGCGGAGAAGTATATATTATTTATAACCTCATAGTACTGTGTGTGATCGATACGGTAAGGTAAAACGATTACGAACGTTAAATTATCTAGCCGTTCTTTCGTTCGTTCATCCGTTCGTTCTATATAAACCACGTTCTATAGTCTCGTACTGAAAACGCGGTGCATAGAAAATAGCGTCTTGTGGTGATACCATAGGAACGTAATTGCAGCTCGCGCGCTTTTATTCTTCCACCTTGAACGTAATCGTTTTGCTATTTTCGTAATCGTTCTCGAGAGCTTATAATAAATATTTTATTATTGTAGATTTTTTTTCTTCAAGATTATTCTCCTAATATCTCGATATATTAAATTATCCTATTGGTGCTTTTACGATTCCTATATAATACACATTTCAACTAGTAACTCGCTCTTTTTTTCCGGACATATATCAAGGAAATGCGATCAATAATAAAAAAAAAAAAAGATTCTTCAATACGAATAAAAAAAGTACGAGCGCGAAATGTTTCTATCACGTTA